GTTCCTCGTATCGACAAAATCAAAGGTAACCAGATCCCCAAAAGCTTTGAGCTTTCTCTTGAACGCTCCTCGATGCGTCTTGAAGTGTTTCATCTTTGCTCTGATGCATGACTCACAGTAGGGATTCTTGTAACGGTGTGTGAGTAGATGTTCGATTTTCCTGGCATCTGCTTTCAGAGTTCCTCTTCTCACCATTCTGCTTGCACCGTCAACAATATCCACCTCGATGTCATCTGCATCATCATCGTCAGCTTCTGGTTCACTGTCTCCGGCGACATCTGATCCTACCTCATCTTCTTCTCCAGGAGATGCCTTGAACTTCTTATTCCTCTTTCGTCTTTTGACTTTTGGAGGCTCAATCACAGGGAGGTCGTCATCATCACACATGACGCCTTGAGGATCCACATCACAGTTGATGAAAGCCGATTGGTAATCAGCTTCACCTTCTCCTAGGGTGAACCTTGCGATCATCTCCGCCCTTACATCGTCGGTGGGGTTACAGAAGTCACTGCCCTTGACAATATATATGGGATGTTTCCCTCTACTTCTAACATGATTTTCTTGTAGTTCGGGGAAACCATGTACGGGTTGCCGCAGGCTGGCCATATGAATGTGTAACCTTCCTCCATGCATTTCTTTCCAACAGACAGTACTGAAGGAGACTCATCTAAGACGAATGGGGAGTAGGTAGAGTCAAATTCGTCGAAATGAATGTCGGCGACTCCCTTTGTGGATGTCACTCCATTTGCAGTATAGAATGACATTGATTGGTCGCTTTCTCTCACTTCCAGACCTAATTTCTTGGCTCTGCCTTTCGATATCAAATCATACCCACATCCTGTGTCCATGATGAACTTTGTTCTTGACCCTTTGGCTGGAATAGACAATGTCTTTGTGTCTGCATGATCTTTCTTTCCCTCGCATACATGAGGAATGACTTTATGATGGAAAACTAGGCCGTCATCTTCGTCAAAAGACATAGTGACCGCTAGGTCACCCTTTGGTCCAACTGGTATTCGGACCCTCTTGATCTCAGTGTAGGGGACCATCAATATGCCTCTTGCCTCTGCGACCTTTTCTTCAAATCTGATTTGTTCTTTCCTCGTGTAGCAGGTGAGCTCTTTCTCATCGTATCGTTTGATGTCTGGACGTAGAGGTTTCCTTTCTACTACCTTCCATTTGTTCCTGACTGAGTAGATCGCTTCGTTCAACATGATCTCACAAGTCTCTTCATCAAAGGATACTTTTGCACCTCCTTCTCTTGCCTTGGCGGATGCAGCAATCCCTTCATCTTCGGATTCGTCCATGAAGAGTTCACCGTCAATGGCTGGGGCTCCAGGCTTCGCCTTAGGCTTCGGTTTGGGTTTTGCCTTGGGCTTTGGCCTATCGTCTCCTGAGTCAGCTGGTGCAGATATCCCTTTCTTAGGAGAGGCTTTTGGGTCATGGTAGAACTTGCAATCCTTCCCTTTGTCACAAGTTCCTCGAATCCACATCCAACATACTGGCTTGTCATTCTTTCCGACAGAAGATCCTCTGGATGGTGATCTGGGTTTCTTGTGACTGAATGGGCAATCTTTCCCCATAGTGCAGTTACCTTTCACGAAGTATTTGCATGGTATCTTCTTCTTGTCTGTACTCGGACTTCGGCTGCGATCCTTTCCATCACCTTTACCTTTCCCCTTTCCCTTTTTGTTCTTGTCTTCAGGATGCTTCTTGGGATTGGGTTTCGGCTTCACTGCAGCAGCGTCTTCTGAGACAACCTGTTCTTGTTGCCCTTTTGGTTTCTTCTTCGGATCAGCTGGTGCAGCTTTCAGTTTTGGAGCAGGTCCGCCTGGTTTGAGATTCTGAAAGATATTGGCCACATTCTTCACTGCCTTCTCCTTTTCCAGGATCATCCTGTCTTCAGTTTGCCGTTCGATGTGCCTTCTGATCATATCACGTAGATGTTTGTATGTCTTCTTGGCATCATCGTCGTTCATGCTGTTGTAGGCGCTGATGTCGTATGCCATGAGGTTTGAGTTCCTGATCTTTCTCCATAGGAGATCCCGAAGAGTTTCGTCGCTCGGGACGTCAACGGGCTTCATTCCTGCCAGAATCTCATCCCAAGTGTGGAAGAACAACGATAAGTTCTTGTCTCCTTGATATTCTAGTTGGTAGAGGTGCATTGAAGTATATAAGACTTCCACATTTGATGTTGTCTTGAAATTCATAAGGATCAGGGCTAGGACCTCTCTTCCCTTTATGAGGCTTGATGTTCTCCCTTTTGCATTGATCCTCGTCCTCAACTTCATAGCTACACCTGAACCATCATCTTTCGCATCCATGACGACCTTGGTAAGAGCTAGGCCGAGTTTGGCATCGATTGAATGGAATCTTTGGTCTCCTGAGTCGACAAACTTGTCCGGATCAGGATCGTCCATGGCTTCTTTGATCCAGTCGATCCAGGGCTCTTGATCTGAATCATTGGCCGCAATGATGATCGATTGAATGAGATTTGCCTTCCATAGTCCAAGATCATTGATCCTGGGCCATGACGGAACGTTTATCTTTGATTCTTCCTTCCTCGATACTTTCATGATTGTAGAGGTTGCCGGTGCAAGATGAGATGAAGAGGATGCTTCTGCTTCTGAAATCTTGTCCCTCAATGATTTGTTCGCCTCGGATAGCTCAATTGATTTCTCCCTTTCCTCGGCGTACTCATTGTGGGTTTCGGCATACCATTCATACATCTCATCTCGGCTCTCTGTCATTTCATTGTACCCGTCCTTGTAGTGCTTCGCCTCCTCTTTTGCGTTCCGAATCTCATCTTCCTCGGACGCGTGGGTTGGTAACCCGCGGTCTCTGGAACTAGGACGCTTGCTGTACCGAGAGACTATGGGTGCCATTCGTGCTTCTGCTTTTAATTTCGCATTTTCCATAATGACATTCTTTGTCTCCTTCTGGCTTTCCAATAGTGCATTCTCCAGTTCTCTGATCTTCTGTTGAATTTCAGCACCATCATCGCCGAACATAGGAGCTCTCATCATATTCTCTCTTTTCAGCTGTGCGTTGGCTTCGGATAGAGCGAGGTTGGCGTCTTTCAACTGTTGTCGTTCACGGATGGAACCTTCTAGGACTTCGTTGTTGAATATTTCTCCTTTTGCGATAACCTCCTTTGCGACGTTTGCTTCGTATTCATGGTGGCTCGCCTTCATTTCTGCCATTTCTTTAGCAGAGACTTCAGTCTGGCATACAAATATCTCCATCCTCATGCCCACTTCCATCTCTTCTATCTCCGCTCTCGCGTTGAGTTCAGCTCCACGTGCCATAGCTAGTTGACCTCGTAGATGATCAATAACCATAGCTTCCTGATTGCTCTGATCTTGAGATGAGTGAACACTGTGTTGAAGACGTCTTTCCCTGACCTCACTGTTCCATTGTTCTTCTCTCTGGTGTTGGATCACCTCGTGCATGTTGACATTCTCATCCTGTAGCGCAATCATTCTAGCTTGTATCTGGTCAGCTATTCCGACGAAGGCTGTGTTCTCATCCTGAATGGCTTTTGATCTTCTATTGATCGCCAATGAAGATTCATTCTGTTCTTGGATGTGTCCAATTGCTGCTTGAAGCTCTTGGGACATTCTGTCCTTCGTTGCTTTCACAGATTCAAGCTCTGAATGTTCTTGATGAGTTTCTTGTGCAAGCTCTTGATATCTCATGTAGATATGTTCAGCTGTCGATTCCGCCAAGCGTAGCTTGTGTTCGAGCTCTTCAATTCTTATTGTCGCTCCTTCATCTTCCTGTGTCATCTCTTGTAGATGTTCCTGCATCTTCCTGTTGTAGTCAGACATTTGCCTGAACTCCACTTCAGCCTCGTGGTGTAGTCGTGAGTATCCGGCTTGGATGCATTCATATTCTTCATGAAGAAAATTGTATGCGTTTCTCGCCGATCTCAATTCTTCACCCAGCTGAATCTCTCTTCTTTGCTCTTTTGTTCCTCTATCATCGTCACGTCTCTTCTCTATACTCCTTCTTGGGGATCTCGCGGTAGACGTTATAGGCGATGTAGATCTTGTTGTAGCTCTCATCGATCTTCTTGGTCCTACGGGTGCAAGATCGATCAGATTCCGAGCCGGTGGCACGGATCTTTCCGAGATTTGTGATCCAGTAGGCATAGTGATAACGTCAGCATTTGCTGATGAATCAGTACCCATTGTAGAGTCTGGTGACGAAATGGTGTTGGGACCACCAGGAGCAGCGAATGAATAGGGTTCGCTTCCATTTCCTCCTGAGCTTGACATTGCAGGTTTCTGTAATGACTAGTCTTGTTCTTGGTCTCGTGTAGCTCGTACGGCTATAAAGAGCGCGTACGGCTGATAACCTGCGAGTGGATCTTAATCAGCGAAGTTTGAAGCTATCACTGACGGTCCATAAGCGGCGTAGCGTCGGAACGGAAACCGCACCTTTTCTAGTCGCTTGATCCTTGAGCCAAAGTACATATGGTACATATATATGTACAAGTTGCACTGTACGTGTCGCTGCACTTCCATTCGCAAAAGGCAATAGGACGGACCCAACCAATATAACCATCCAAACTGGATGCTGGGGCATGCTTCTTAGCTCTTGAGGGCTCGGGCTCTTGTTTCACGCTCCGTCTGGAACGTCATCACTTCGTATCACTTCACGGGGTCGACGCGTTTCTTGGTCCAAGCACGAACGTCGATGCCTCGACCCGTCCGGAAAGCCGTGCGCGGGCCGATTTCTTGTGCGTGTAAAAACGTCTTGAAAGGGAGACAAAACCTGGGGTGTCCTGCAGTGCTTCTTCTCAAATCATTCCCCACCCGGACTTTTTGGGACACGAACCAACCTGCGACCACAAAACACACCGGTCGACCGGTTCTCTTGAGACGGAGAGCAAGCATGAAGGGAGCAAGCATGAGTCGTCCAAGGAGGAGTTGTTGTTGGTCTTTGAGTGTGTCTGATGTGAATTTGTTGGATGATCTTTTTTCCGGGCAAGACGCCATCTTGAGGATATTCTCGATCGCCCCGAGAGGGCGCTGGAGTTCCATCTCGACCTCCACCACACGTGGCCATTGCCTGACACGAAAAGAGAAATTAAAAGAGTAACATATTCACATCACAGGAGTCGAAATGGAGCTTCTGAACATCTGAAGTGAGTTGTCTCCTGCATACATTGCCCTGTGGCCCTGCCCTGCCTAGTAGTGTGGTCTTTCTTCATTAATCTTGTCGTTCCCATCATGTTACCATCATGTTCTACCCTTGTTCATCCACTTTCGCAAGGTCGGATCTCTCTGGCAGAGACGAGAGCCTCGATCATCTCGCCTCCACGCGTCGCGCGTGCAGCGCGTCCGGAGGCCTCTGCCAAGCCAGATGGACTCGATCCTCGAGCTTCGCGGCCCTCGCCGCTAACGTGCGGACCGATCGGACCGACGGCAGAGCAGCCACCAGTGGCATCAAGACGGCACAGCGCCAGCGCCAGTAACGGCGAATTAGGCCATGTTTCGCGGCCCCGCGAGACCGGGGAAGCGGTTTTTGTTGGTATTCTGTGGGCTTTGAGATGCTTTGAGGGTATTTCGTTTAAGAATGATTTAGATGAGATGTGTGTGCGTGTGTGTTCATATCGGAGTGAAGCTTGTCTTTGTTTTTCTGTGTGCAGGGCGGTCCAGTTGGGATGGTGGGTTTACCAAGGCAGCATGAAGGTCTAGTCGATGGCGAGGCTTGTGTGCTTGTCGGCGGTGTTTAACGGGAAGTCTTGCACTGTGACCATGAAAACGTGCTTCAACCAAGTTGATCTTCGCCTTTGTAAAGGTCAAGCGAATCATTCAATGCTGCCAATCAACGACGAAGTTCCATTCACATCTAGGCATTGAATACCTATAGCAGAGCCATGCGAAGCAGAACGACAAGCCAGCACCGCTTCTTCCAACACCCAAATACACTCCAGTACTCCTCAGTTTCTTGGTCACATCTCAACTTGTTCATGAGGCCTGAAGACCTCAGGTCTAGGGAAGAAGTCCGTGATTCCTTGCGATCGGAAGAGCGAGATGGACCAACCAAAGGCTGAGGATGCTGGAAGGGGGTCAGTTAGGTCCTCAGCTGCATGCCCTTGCACTAGAACGTTTCTCATGAAGTAAAGCACAAGGAATGATATATAAATCCTCGTGCATCTGCGCAGAGGAAGTTTCCGCGCTCATGGACCACAGACTTCATTCATTGAGTAGTAAAACAATAAAGACACCATACTTGTGCTGTGGAGCACAGTCCACCAATCCCAGTGAAATCAGGTGTGGTTTACTATTACATATCGAAAATATCACTTGCAACTCTCGGGTTGCTTTGGACCTCACGTTCAGGGAGGGCTCCACCGCTCTCCTGAGGAGAGATGATGCATTCACCATCATTCACCCATGCGAAAGCTCATGGCGCCAACGAAAAGGCACATCCCAAGATCCGCCCCAACAAACATGTCTCTCTGTTTTGGGGAAGCTGAAACACCTGTGGCTTCACGCAATCCCCCCACCGCACGAGAAGCTCGAACCGATCGCCCACGTAACGGGGATTTCATCTCAATGAAGACCTTTGCTTAAATGACCTGACACTACTCATGTCTCGGCCTTGTTGCTCACCTAAGAGAGTGTGTTTGTCCATCTGAGTCCATCTGTTTGAGTCTGTGAGCTGATAACTCAACTTTTTCTTCATACGCATCAACCGTCATAAGCCACCGCAACTTCTTGTGCTGGAGCAACAGGTGCGCAAGAGACGCTGCTCGTGTTGCGGCGCCAAAAAACACGTCCAAGCCTCCCCCAAAACACTGGCACAGCATGACACAGCTATATGTTGTGTTTCCCCCATAAAACCTAAGGCTGCAAACAAGAACCCGCGTGTGTTGGCAATGCATCAAAGTCGGCATTGTGCTCGCGTGCGCAAAGGCGGCATGTGCGTGTGATCGCGTGTGTTGCTAAGCACAAAACACTTAAGTTACCATCTTGTACCCAAATCAGTTCCCCAACTGCATCTGGGAACTGATTTGAGCCACGTGGTCACCGGACGTTCCACGTGGTCACCGGACGTTCCAGCACTGGTCGACGTCTCGACATGGGTGGCACCGGTGGCGGTGAGGGGACGCTGACCCGAATGTCGACGACGATCTGATGCGAATGAAGACGGGGGAGGCCCGTCTCGTCGTTGCACATGAATTAGACGATCTGCTGAACACGAGCAACTACTGAAAGGATCTGAAAGGATCAGTTCACATCTTGCCTTTTTGCCAGGAGTCGATCAAGTTTGACAGCCATGTCTCATGCACCTTTTTTCAGATCCACATGGATTATCGTTTATGTGCCAGTTGAAACCAACTTCATCAAAGATCAAAGATCATCAAAGTATTCCTCGGTCGATGATCGCCTCAGACCTCTCTGAGCAGGTCGTCTCGAATTCACAGCTGAATTGGCCTTAGAGAGCTGATGAAATCGTCGTCTGAAGATCTGTTTATCAAAGTCAACCTAGGCCCCTGTTAGAACCCCATCTGGGACTGAAAAGGTCCACAGCTCCTTGAATATCCTTGAAAATAATGTTTGATGGTGCTTTCTGAAGCATCAACTAGAAAAAATGACTGCATGCAAGACATACATTCAGAATTTTCCCACCCAACATGGAAACCACAGAGGACTGCCTGGAACGACCGACCTCAACGACCTCCGGTCGACTTATTGACACAACTCACCGGGTCAGAAATGGTTGACCAAAGGCTTCGACCTGTTTTTGTTTTTTTCCGAACGAAAAGAGGATTGAAGCATAGTGCCTTGAAACATCAAGGATCAGCTTCAAAGAATTTGAAGAGGATCAGCTTTCACCGACTCCCTTTGATGACAGTCTTCGAACACGACTCTTCGATGTGACACGCTCGAGCACCGCGTGTGTGAAGAGCGCCGCGTCACTCTTCCCAGACCAATGCTGCTGACCATTCATTCATTGATTTGCTTTGGTCAGAGGCCACATCTTCACTGCCTGGCGAGCTTTCGGCGGTCGTGATGTTCATGATGTTCATGAACTTAATCTGGAAATGGATCATCAAGTGAGATCAAAGGTCCCTTACGACACTTCAGGTCGAGCACTTTAAAAATTGAATTTGCATCGCTGATTGAATGGAATTCGATGGACCAGCTGCCATATATAAAGACTCACAGCGGTTGCCTGTTTTCACCTTGCAGTGCAGACCTAA